CTAAAAAGAAATACGCTTAAATTCACCTTCATCCCGGCCGTGCGCCAACGGTAGAATCCACGACTGACGCCAATTCAGTCAGGTTTCGATCCTAGCTAGAGGCAACCGGACACACTGATGAGCTGTGATACAGCGAAACAGTATATATATATATAATAAGATATATATATATAATAAGTATATGAGTTCATCTTATACCATATATATATATATATATATATATATATATATATATATATAATTCGGTGGTATATAAATGAATGGGAGTTCAGATCGACATTTCATTATAATGTAAACAACATAATTGCATTTTTTTTTATTTGTTTTTTCAAATTTTTATTATATATATATATATATATATATATATATATATATATATATATATATATATATATATATATATATATATATATATATATATAAATGTAAGTCTAATGATACCGATATTTTAGGCTAATATACACGAATGTTTATGATGTATATATAAGACTGCACTTGTTTTAATATTTTTCTCAGTCTTATGTAAAAGCACCTCAGTTCGTTAATGTACCGGCGAAATATAAAACACATGTCTCTTTATAAAAGTGTTCTGAACTCTAAAAGATCTACCATAAAAGACTTTTAATACAGATAATGATCTTTAAATGATCACACCTTTTGTCAAACCGTTTCTCGTATTTCATTCTCTGTCCTTTGATGCTTTCCTTATTCGCAACTTTGAACGCCCGCCCGTCCGCTCGTTTCCCCATCCCTACTCTTCTGTATATTTACACTTGTTCCGTTTCCTTTTTTCTTAACATATTTTTCTTTCTTTCTTTCTTTCTTTCTTTCTTTCTTTCTTTCTTTCAACTCACTCTTTCTCTCTCATCACTCACTGACAATAATTTGCGCTATTTATAGATCGAGTAACTTTCTTACACTTTCCTATTTGTCCTCAGAACTCAGCGGTTCTTTTTCACTTCTTTCTCTCTCTGCCCCCCCTCTCTCTCTGTCTCCCTCTCTCTCTCCTTGCTTCATTTTAACATTTGTCTTACACTCTCTCATTTTTACCTTTATTCCCTCACTCTCTTCCCTTCTTAGTCATTTACTCTATCTCTTTTATCTGCCTTCACTCAACTGTATCTCTATCTTTATGCATCTCACTCTCTCTCTCTCTCTCACTCTCAATATATACATATATATATATATATATATATATATATATATATATATATAAAATATATATATATATATATATATATATATATATATATATATATATATATATATATATCAAAGATTGCGTTTCACAAAAAAGAAACTTTCTACCATCATACTTCTCGAATATATCGCTTTCAAGGTAAACAGTTTTTTGTCTACAATATCAATATTAAGTTAAAAGAAACAGAGAATAAATACGAAATAGAAAAAAGAAAAGTTAAAACATTTCTCTTCCCGACTTTAATTTTTGCAGAAGTAATCAGCTCACGAGGGCGTTACATAATTCAGTTCAATTTCGATAACATCTGCGAAATTAAAAGTGGGAAAGATAAGATTTTTTAACTTTTAGTTTATTTGTTCAAAATACATATATATATATATATATATATATATATATATATATATATATATATATATATATATATATATATTTATTGATTATATTAGCAAATATACACATACATATGCAATCACATATATAAAATATATAAATATATATACATACATACACATACATATATATTTGCATAAAAATAATTCCAAGAGGATAGAATCCAGGTAGAACTCAATGTCCAGGACAGAGTAAGGATATAACAAAAAATGTTTAAGGATATAATAAAAAGTGTTTAATGAAGTTTTTGGTAATCCGCGTGGATAATTTTAAGAAGAATGTAATCCACAGAGGTCAATGTAAAAACAGAGCCAATATATATATATATATATATATATATATATATATGTATATATATGTGTGTGTGTGTGTGTGTGTGTGTGTGTGTGTGTGTGTGTGTGTGTGTGTGTGTGTGTGTGTGTGTGTGTGTGAAAAGTGTATATAAATATAAATAAATATAAGTATGTATAATTATTTATATATTATATATGGTACTTATTAGAAAGCGCTCAATATCAGAAATAGAGCTAACATATATTTGGTTGGATAGATGTGAGTTTGTGACCCTGGGTTTCATTTTTTTGATCGTCAAGAGTTTGTCTGACGATCTCTAAAAGCGAGAACTTAGGTCACAAACTCACATCTATCCAACTAAATATATATAAATATATATATATATATATATATATATATATATATATAAAAAAAAACAGACCACTTTAAGGTTCCATTATAATAATTTATTTCACCAGAGCCCTTTTAAAGGACGCCGGATCATCAGATAGCACTTCCAAAACATGTAGAAAAAGTGATCACTTGATAAGACACCGAGCGTGTTGAAACAAAATGGCTATTTTTGTTGTGATTTTATAACATATTTATGTTATAATTTTATTTTTTTAAAATAATATATATATATATATATATATATGAAAGAAAAATACAGAAAAAAACAAAATTCTATATATATATTATTATTTAAAAGAACGCTGACGTCATAAAATTTCAGTTATCTGTTTGAATTAGACCATCTTCATGTCCATTTCTTTTGTTAAATTTTTAAGTTATAATGTTAATTATGTTTAAATGAAAATGTCCATGAAGATGGTCTTAAATAGACCGAAACGTCCGACGTCGACTTTCTTTTTAACATTAATAATGCATATTCAGAATTTTGTTTTTTCTGTATTTTTCTTTTCATACTGTCGGATTTATATCCATATATTTGCTTATATATATATATATATATATATATATATATATATATATATATATATATATATATATATATATATTATGTAAGCATGTATATATTATAACTGATTTTACATTTTTTTATACCCCGAAGTGCAGGGCCGGTGCTTGGTTCCCATCCCCTCCCCGAAACATTGATACGGGAGCCCCACTCTTTACTACATGTCGACTTCTAAGTTTCATAACCTGGGTGCCGAAATTCTCGAAGAAAAATTAGGCGGGGAGGGAAGGGCTTTTTTAATTGCCAAAAATCAAGGAATTACCCATTTTAAATGACATTTTCAGTACCTATTCATTAATTACCTGCAGTAGAGCCCGGCATTGCCCGGGGATGTAACAGTAAGAGATAGATCAAGTATCGACCATCATAAAGACTGAAAAATAAAATTGACAAAGATTATTGTTTAAGGTTGACGGATACGCATGTCTTAATTAGTTTTTTTGTTTTTGTTTTTTTTTGTTTTTTTACGAATTGGTCAAACCCAAACTCAAACAAAAACATTGTTTTCAATCGTTATGAGTCTACCGATTGAATAGAATTTTATTATAAACAATTATAAACAATTGTCTTGTAATTTTTAAAGCATTCTGAATGTAAAAATAAAGAAAAAAGTGTGCAACACAATAAGAAACACTACCTGCCAAAAAAAAGTGAAGTTTTGTTGAAATCGGTTGAAAAATGTAGGAAATCCGATCCCATATATAAACGAACACACACACACACATACACAAACAAACAAACAACCTAGGTTTTATAATAAGTATAACTCGATATGAGTTGTCCCCCTTTCATTCTCACGTCAGCGATGACTCTTAATCGTGTTTTCAAATTGATTTCGTGCAAAAACAATTGTGTTTTTCCAATTTTGGGCGCTGTCAGAACCACCGCAAGGTAATTTTACGTAGTCCTGTGAAGTTTTGTTGAAATCGGTTGAAAAATGTAAGAAATCCGATCCGAACAGACACACACACACACACACACACACAACCTGGGTTTTATAATAAGTAGGATTTACTTTTATAATGAATAGGTTTTTTATTTTTAAAAATTTGATTAAATGTTGTCCTTTTTGTAATAACCACCAATATTTTCATGACTAAAAATGTTTACGACGCAGATTTTTATTTTTTTATAAACATTAATCGCCGACGCGTCTCCGCCTAAAAGACGTTTTCGAAAGATTTCAACATATCACATGAAAAAGCATCTCCGATAAACTGAAATTTCTTTTAAAAAGAAATAAATAAATAAGACAGAACTTGATGTATTTCCTCTTTTGTCGATCGTTTGACGGAAAAATTAGGTTTTTTTTTAGGGTTCGTATTAGGCTAGCGAGAGAACTTTTCCGTAAACGTTTGACGAATGAGATAATTCACAATTTACATTTGCATTGTTAAATGGTTTAACATCTCTTACTGGTGTCTCCTTCAACTGGTCGTCTCATGCATTTCCACCAAAACAACTCAAAAAAGATTTTTTCTTCTAATATGTTTCATAGCTAAATAAATGCACAAATTGTTTAAAAACAATTCAGAAAGAAAATTACAATTTAAAACAATAAGCGCTACTTAAATCAGCACTTCTGCCCCCTCTCGAATAGGCATGGGGGCCTCCACAGCCTTGAGAGGATTGAGGCAGTAAGCACAGGCTCTGTCGATTATTATAGTTTATAACTGACAATATAACTTAGGTAGAAAGAAAGTAAAAAGTACAAAAAACAAAAATAAATAAATAAATAAACTGCTCCTTAAACTACCCCTTTTGGAGGTCCAAATTCGTTGGGGGTGCCTGCGTAATACGCACCGCACCGGTCATACAAATACACGATATATATTAGTTGATGACAGACAATGTAACGTCAGCTTAAAGATAGTTTTTAAAAAATGGTGGATGGCCATAAAACAGTGTTGAAAGAAATGGTAGAGGCCACAACGAGGCTCCGAAAAAGCGCACTCTACCTGTGGAAATGCTGTTAACATCGAGATTCAGATTCGTCAACTTATCAAATTTTGAATTTGTTTTCTATTGCTTCAGACTTTTTGTGCCGACCATCACCCTGCTGCAATTTGCCGGTTTCTCGTCCACAGGGACGAAGAGAAATCGAGAGGTGACTTGATCAAGTTTCACCGTCGACACTGTTTATCCCCAATTTTTATGACTCATTCTATTTCTTCCACCTCTCCCTGTATTTCTCCGTCTCTCTTTATCGTTTCTTTCTTCTTTTTTTTAAATTCTTATGTGTAATAGATAGATAAATAGATAGAAAATCATAGGCTAATGTTTTTCTACAAGCATAAAAGCTAGCTTCCTTTTATTCTTGTGAAAGAAAAGTAACCTGACAATTATAATCGATAACGCTATTTCTTCCCATCATTACTTGCGACTTTATACCTTTGTAGCGTGACCCTTCTTCTTTTACTATCAATAATAAAGATCTTTTATCATAGCATACTGCTTCTTCTTTCTTTCCTTTTTCTTTCTCTCTTTTTCCAATTTTGCCAGCGAGTAAGAAATGGCGACCTGTTCTTAGATGATGTCCGATATGAGTCACGGCTCAAGTCTTCTTCGAACATTTCTAACAAAGCTGTTTGCCTTAACAGGCCAATATAAATTTCGATAAGCGGTAAGTATTATCTACGTATCAGCCTGATAACAAAAATATTATCTTTCTACACACAGGGTGCTATCCAAGAGTTTGAGAATTCAAATAACACGTACAAATCGACTGGCATGCAGATTTTACCGTGACATTTTGTGAGCCATTGTATAGATGTCAAAAGAGACTGCTTCGAAGGAGACGGTGAAAAGTAGGTTTTATGATAAGTAATTTTTCATAACCAAATTCCTCGAACTTTAAATTTGTATTCCTGTTGGGAATGCGCAGAATGAACTAATAATTTTGCTATGGTATTAAAATAAATCAGAAGGAATTTTTTTATGTCAGGTTGCATGATCTTCGTTTGCATCCACAACAAACAAATGCATTTATATACAAATAAAAATATTATATACAAAATATTTTACATGTTATTGTGTTGGTATGTTCGTAGTAACTGAAGTTTTTTTGTATTCACAGAGTAATCATCGAGTCGAGTTTGTGAGTGAGACAGTTGTGGTTTTGTTTGCGCGGGAAAATTATAATCGCAGGTGACGTGGATTAGATTAGCGCTTCTCTGTGTGTACTGGACAGGGTGATTTATCGCAGATGACCAAAGAGAATGTATAGTTTGATTCTTGAATGACGAAGAAGTTCGTAGAAGATATTGAACGGGAAAAATTTGTCGTCTCGAGACGGGAATTGTAGTCGTCACATTTTTAAGCTTGAGTGAGTGATCAAAAAAAATGGTCTGCTGTTGATCTGCCCAGGTCTGCATCTCTCCGTGTCACACGTGCTTTGGGTTCTTTTTAAGAGGTCATGATCACGTGGGTGGCTCCAGAACGATTTTGCGCCAAAACTTCGAAGTGCATGTGCGGGCGACCTGATTGGTAGAAATGAACCAATCAGAGGGCTAAATTTACGAATGAAAGTTGGAAAAGAGACGAGCCCAATAATTCTATATGCATATGTTGGGTTCGTTGTGTTGTTAATTGTATTTCAAAGATGATATTTAGATATGGGTACATAGATTTATTCAACCAAATCTATGCCATTTTCTTCCACTAACTTAAACGCCCTGTCGGCTGGGGTTTGAGAATACGCCGATTGCAGCTCTGCAGAGGGGTAAGGTCTCCCTCCACCACCAATGAGACGTCCTGGGTATGACGATAAACTACATCCGGCAGCAAGGCCTCTGATCAGAAGATTTTGAGGAACGTAGAACCACCTCTTAATTGCTGTTGTTCGCAGGTCCACCTTGACCAGGGATGATAGCACGTGTTAGGGTCCCAGCTATGGGCAAATAGTTAACCTCCAAACCGCGGTCAAAACACAATGTAAGTGTAAAAATACGTTTTTATAGTAAAAATACCAGCAATACATTTTGGAAAAATACCTGTCTATATCTTTGTGATGAGGTATTATGATTATTTACATTTTTCGGACTGTTATCCTCATTTTCATTCAGCTCTCGGCAGTGGTACGCTCCGGCCTTCGTCTGGTGATTGGAATTTCGAACTGAACCCTTTCTTTTATCTACCGGGGTAAATTGTTCTAGTTCCATGTGCCATGCCGCTTCCGGATGTCTCAGTTATTCCTCTTTAACTGAACTCTACAATTTTTTTTTATTTCCCCACTGCTGCAGACTGGTATTGAACTCACAACTCTTTGGCTTTTAGTTAATTGATCTAACCAACGACTTTATCCACTGGGTCATGTATCGTTGTGGGGAACTAAAAAAAAAAAAAAAAAAAAAAACTTTCCATATTAAAGCAAAATTTATAAAACCTAGGATTGTATTATTTTATAGAATTGATTTATCGAGATCAAAGGGATTTTGTTCTTAATCATAATGAAAATGCTTTTGAACTTTACTATAACTTGTCTTATTTCTCAGGCTGTTCTTAAAAAAGCTAATTTGGATTTTCAAACATGTGTTGAGTTTATATGGATCATACGATAATCAAAAATTAAAATAAGTCACGATCATGAAGAATGAATATAAAGATACGAATAAGCAAAGCCTCTGTAAGATTAATGTAAATAACATACATATATATAAATATTATGTATATATAAATAAAAAGAAAGAACAGTAAGATATATAATCCGGTGTTCTTATAGATGTTTTTATTTTTACAAAATAGTGCTCAATGTAAATTTACAGAGCATTAATATTATAAATTAATTGATTTAAAATATTTTTTCGCTACACAGTTCTAACCATGTTTCAAAAATGGAAGCTGAAAGCTTAGAATTTAATTTTAAAATTGGAGTAACTTTTAAAATTATTTTGGAGTAAGTTTTAAAACCCTGTAATTTTAAAAGTTACTCCAAAATTCGCTTGAGGATGAAATGGAACTAATTTCTTTAATTTAATTACAAAATTAAATTCGAAGCTTTCAGCTTCCATTTTTGAAACATGGTTAGAACTGTGTAGCGAAAAAAAAACATATTTTAAATCAATTAATTTATAATATATATAAATATTATATATTAACGAACTATTAGCATAGTTGATTTTCTGTCGTTTCGTGTCGTTACTAAGAAATCATTTCTAGTTATATCTAATTCTATAAATGTTGAATCTCGAAATGTCAATAAATGTGAGGGAGTATTTTTCAATTCAAGGCCCAGTGAATATCTACCAGGATGAATACTTTTCACTTTCACTCTCAACAAAAATTGATGGTTTCAACGCCTTATCGTTCTATGTTATCAAATATGTGTGTGCGTGCGTGTGTGCATGTGTTGGGCATCTCGACATAGTGTAATGGTTAGTAAGCTTGTCTCGCTAAAACAATAACGACTGAGTAGTGAGTTCCATACTCACTGTGTGCGCCATACTTTCGGCCGAGCGCCACATCTAAGCTATGTTTAGAAAATTACTTCGGGCACTACGCAGCGTGGTTAGCAAGCTTGTCTCGCTAGAACAATTTCGACGGAGTAATGAGCTCGACCCTCACTGAGTGCCTCATACTTTCTCCCTTGTTCCACATTTAAGCTTTTCTTATTAAATTACTGTGTATGTTTAATACTGTGGCATATATTCCCGTTTGGTTTATCTTTATAATTCCCGAAACTTCTCTTTCTCTTTAATTTTCTATGACTTAAAAGAGAGAGAGAGAGAGAGAGAGAGAGAGTGGTTTCGAGAAATCTCTCTCTCTCTCTCTCTCTCTCTCTCTCTCTGGTTTGGTTTGGTTTATCTTTATAATTCTCGAAACTTCTCTTTCTCTTTAATTTCCCATGATTTAAAAAGAGAGAGAGAGAGAGTGGTTTCGAGAAATCTCTCTCTCTCTCTCTCTCTCTCTCTCTCTCTCTCTCTTGGTTTGGTTTATCTTCATAATTCTCGAAACTTCTCTTTCTCTTTAATTTTCCATGATTTAAAGAGAGAGAGAGGTGTGTGGTTTCGAGAAATATATCTCTTTCTCGAAATCACGCTCTCTCTCTCTCTCTCTCTATATATATATATATATATATATATATATATATATATATATCTTTTGCTCCTTCTATTTTTCTGTTTCTCTTGAATTTTCCAAGTTTCTCTTTAAGAACTCGATATATTTCTCGAAACTTCTCTCTCCTTTACTCTCTCTCTCTCTCTCTCTCTCTCTACTCACTTTCTCTTTCTCTTCTACTCTGTTACTCTTTCATTTAATCCTTCTTAATTCATAAACTCATCTCTCTCTTTACAAATGGCCACCACTCTGGCAACCATTCAACAGCTGTCTTATTCTTTCTCATTTTGAAAACCTGCTTTTTGTTTCCTTGTCCCAATGTTGAAAAAGTGCATTGCCATTCTTGTACGCCTCTGCGTGCTTGTCTACTCAGAGATCTGACCACTCTTTTTATGATGAGTCTTCAAGTCGACACACCACGACAATCTTTTCGGCCGTTTTTATTTTATGTATTTTGCCCTGGGGGTGGGGGCGGGCTTCAAAGCAGTTTTCTTAAAAACACTTGGGGCACGGACAATCTTTTGTCGCATTCGCGAATAACGTGTAATTAGGCATGCTGTCATATTCTGTCATCTGCAATACGTTGGAGGATAAATGAGGACAAACAGTTAGCACATCAGTATTATGCGAAATACTCTTTTTGTGCGCGAATGAATGTATAATTGCAAAGAAAATAATAGCCAGATTTGAACAGGCATTCGCTAAGTAAGACTTTGTTATCATATATTTTGCAAGAAGTCTCTGTCGAGAAAGTGTTCAACTTGAATGAAATCATTCAGGACTCTGCCCCTTAGCTGAACTCGAACGCGAATAACTGATGCTATAGACAAAACAGCCACCTTTTATCCACCTTGCAAGCTGAGGATAGAAATAAAGATTTATATGCCACTAACAGCCTTTTGAATACGTTCTTGCATAGATGCATGAAATATTTCACTTTATACATATATATGTGTGTGTGTATGTACTAATTCCTTATAATGGGACGGTGTGTGTGCCTGTGTGTATGTATGTGTTTATGTGTACAAATGTGTTTACTAATTCCTCGTAGTGAGACAGTGTATGTATGGAGGGGGAATATACACACGCATATATACACACATGCTGACAGAAACACACGAAAATGGAAACAGATCTAAGAACACACAGGCGTCGTTAAAACATTAAAAGATAAAATGCCGATAAGTAATTCATCATTTCTCTTGGACAGAGATTGTCTCATATCGAGAATATTTAACATTGAAAAACATAAAGGAAAAAAATTAATTATTTTTAATAATATGTGGAAAACTCCGCCTTTTACCTGAAGACGTTCGCGAGACCAGAAACACGTGTAGTAAAATTAGGAAAAATAAAGCAGTATATTGTTTTTAAAAAATCCAGACTACAATCAAAAACGATTGCGGTTTCTCTCTTCTTTTTAATATACACAGTTTTCTCTCGTTGGAACCACTATAAACTCTTTCTTTTTTATATATATATATATATATATATATATATATATTGCTGGTAATATTTTTACAAATAAAAAAATAATTCATTGCTGGTATTAAAACCTATTTTTACACCTTCACAGCGCCTTGACCGTTATGACGGTTTCTCATAGCTGGGGACCCCCCAACAGGTGCTACTAACCCTGTTTGCGTTCCGTTTTCATAGTAGGATCCATTTTCACTTTGCTGTAGCTACCATTGCTAATGAGGTCTTCCAGTTTTCTTGTATAATCTGATTGGTCCATCACTACAGTCGCATTACCTTTGTTAGCCGGTAGTATGATAATGTTTTCATTCCTCTGTAGGGATCCAAGCGCCAGCCTGATAAATATGGTGACAAAGATGAGGCCAATAGTCCGAAGAATGTAAATAATGTACATAATACCTCATCTCCGAAATATAGACAGATCTGATTTTTAATTGGTTAATTCAGACATACCCACCAGAATATGTTTTAATCCTAACATTAGTTCACACCCCTCCTCTTTCGAAAGAGGTAACGGTTTGCTTTTGGTTTGTATATATATATATATATATATATATATATATATATATGGTATTAAATTGTAAAAGTTTTTAGGTGCCAAAATTGTATATATATATATATATATATATATATTTTTTTTTTAAAGTTAAAAGCTCTACATGTACAAGGGAGAGAGAGAAAGATTATATATATATATATATATATATATATATATATATATATATATATATATATATATATATATATATATATATATATATATATATCAGAGATAGAGCGTATCTAAATATAAATATAAAGGTGAACATTGAAATCAACACTCAGATGCAACACTGGACGCAATCGTCAGGCGTCTGAGTCTTGACTTTAATGTTCACTTTTTATATATATATATATATATATATATATATATATATATATATATTTGGAAAATCAGTATCGCACGAAGAAACCGACAGGTCGAAACCATGGTCGCGTATTTTAATCGATGTCCTAATTTTTAAAGTTAAAAGCTCTACATGTACAAGGAGAGAGAGAGAGAAAATATTACATATATATATATATATATATATATATATATATATATATATATATATATATATATATTATAATGCTGCTTCATTTGATATTTTGCAATTTGTTTTTACAATTTCCAACTTCAGTAATTGATACAGTATTTCTATGAAAAATTCAGTAACTGATAAAGTATGTCTAGTAGAAAATCCAGTCATTGATACAGAAAGTTTTATAGAAATTCAGTAATTGATAAAGTATTTCTATTATAAAATTAATTGCGACAGTATTTCTATTAGAAAATTCAATAAATTATACAGAATTTTTATTAGGTAATTCAGTAATTGATACAGTATTTCTAGAGAAATTTCATTAATTGCTACAGTATTTCTATTAGAAAACTAAGTAATTGGTACACTATTTTTATTAGAAAATTCAGTAATTGATACAGTATATCTATTAAAAATCAGTAATTTTATAATATTTCTATTAGGAAATTCAGTAATTGATGCAGTATTTCTAGTAGAGGATTCTATACATAATACAGTATTTATATTAGAAACTTCAGTAATTAATACAGTCTTTCTATTGAAAAATTCAATAACTGATTCAGTATTTCTATTAGAAAATTAAGTAGCTTATACAGTATTTCCATTAGAAAATTCAGTATTTGATATGCATTTTTATTAGAAAATTCGGTCAATGATACAGTATTTTTATAGAAATTCAATAATTGATACAGTATTTCTATTGGAAAATTACGTAATTGTTACAGTATTTTTATTCGAAAATTCAGCAATTGATACAGTATTTTTATTAGAAAATTCAGTATTTGGTACATTATTTCTATTAGGGAATTAAGTAATTGGTACAGTATTTCTATTAGAAAATTCAATAATTGATACAGTATTTCTATTTGAAAATTCAGTCATTGATTCAGTATTTCCAATAGAAAATTCAGTAATTGATACAGTATTTCTATTAGAAAATTCAATAATTGATATAGTATTTCTATTAGAAAAATGAGGTGTCATTAATTTATAGACTAATTATTTTTACTACACAGCCATATTAAATAATATCGTGTTAAATTTATAAGTACTCTTCCTAATTTCTTACAGAACGAAGTGATTCACTCCATTAAAATAAATTTGAAAATATACGGACAGTTAGAGATATCTATAAATAATAATAATGTCCTTACATGATACAAGAAATATCACGGAAAAAGACTTCAAGTATTTGCTGTCAATATATCAGCGTTGTCTTTTGTTATAATTTGATTGGTTGTCGATCCAAAGGTGTTTAGAAAATATTCTGTGTGTTGTTTTGGGAGTTAAGAAAGAAGAAGCGGAAGTATTTGATGGGGGACATTTGTATCTGACTCCGTTACGCTCGTCTAACCTGGAATTGCGTTTGTCCATATTACCTCGGTTGAGCGCGTTTTTTGTTTCAGCTTTGCGGTCGATTTCATTCGTGCCAATTTTGTACGTTTGTGGATATTTTTTATAGCATAGGATATAAAAGGACTCCGTACTGTCATTTTTTTTTTTGGTTTTTCTTTCTTTTTTTTTCTTTTTTTTTAACTCCACCTTAAGAGTTTATTTTATTCACAAAATGGCTGTCTCACATGTCAGCAATGTAGTAAAGGCTTTGTGTCAGAAGAGTTTAAGAAAGGGAAAAGATTATGGTAAGAAAACGAGCTAAGTGGAAAAGAACCCAAAGAAGAATTCACAAGAAAAGAAACAAGTGATAACGAACCAAATCAAAAAGAATGTGACAACAGGAAATGGAGAGCAAGGCGACAATTCTTTCAAGAGAATAAATGGAATACCTTAACGTCATATCTAACATCTGAGAAGGAAATATCTGGAAAAAAAATAAAGACCTCATATTTGACTTAGAATATGAGAACCAACGGTGAACCAGGATAACACTTTCTGAGACCGCTAACTCTGCATTAGAGACTCGCTTGACTGCATTATTCCTATAATAAGAGAAAATATCAGGTGGGTTTAAATCTGATGATCCGCAGAAAAAGCCTCTAAAAACTGCCCGTCATCGTTTCTGAACTGAAAACTAGAATTCCGGTACTACTGAGAGGCTGTTCGTCTCTTTGCAGTTTACTCGCAGTGGAGCTATCTCCCTTCATATCGAATAAACCGTATATCTTGCTATCTACCTCAGCTGTAGAAAAAGAGGCCTTAATAATATCATAGCCTCGTCCACCAACACTTACCGGTTATATGCACAAGGACTGTCTACGCCTTCTAAAAAACAGCTGGCGGTTCAAGAGGAAAGTCCAATAGGACAAAGCGTCTTCTATTAGCCTGTTTTCCGCGAAATAGTCGTTACTGCTATCATTACCGCCGCCCTGTTACTACTACTGGTACTACTGTTACTACTACAGCTATACCGACAAGCCACAAATGTACCTGTACTCATATCCTCATCACTCACTGTCTAATAAACCCCTACTTGTACAGATTCTCATCTTCACCTTTTTCCTTCTCCACCTCCTCCTCCACTGGTAATTCTTTCAAGAAAATAAATGGTATACCTTAACATCATATCTAATATCTGAGAAGGAAATATCTCCTCCGTATTAAAATCAGGAGGAGGAGGAAGCACCAAAGAAAAGAAAGAATAAAAAACACCAAAAAAATACAATGCAGAGCAGGTCATCTGCCGTATTGACCCGGATGTTCTGAGAAGAA